AACAAGTGATGTAGGATTTTCAAACCTATCTCAAAACCTTCGAATCCATGGCTCAAACTTTTGAGCTTCGTGAATCTCATCAAAAGAAGGTAGATCTTGCTCTACACCTTATGGACACTAAACATCAAGTACAGCAAGCACTGATAGCACAGAATCCTTGTCTAAAAAATCCACAGATGCTAGAACAACAACGTCAGAAACATGAAAAGAGAGTGGAGAAGGAAGAGGAGCTCGAGAAAGAGCATCAACATCAGCCATAAAACTCTTTAGGTGATAAGCAATATCAAAATCATATATCTGAAGCTTTAAAGCCCATAAAGCAGTATGACCAACCAGGTTCTTGTAAGCTCCTAAGTTTGGACTTCCCGGGAGGTCACCCAGCCCAGTACTATTCAAACCCAAGGACGCTTAACCCCAAATATCCCAAGACCCTTAACCGATTGGAAAAGAGGGTGCACTCTTATTCATGGGCCCTTTCCCTCTATATTTGAACCCCATGGATCGTCTCTCAAGTCGTTCCCTTTGGTTGCTTACAATCCACCACGCTTTCCTGCAAGTTCACGCTCTCGTGAACAGAAGCTGAGAGCCGCAGCTCTCCCGAGAGCCCCGCTCTCTTGACACCCTACCCCTCGGGTCGAGCCCAGACGCCCTCGTGAACAGAAGCTGAGAGCCGCAGCTCTCCCGAGAGCCCCGCTCTCTTGACACCCTACCCCTCGGGTCGAGCCCAGCGGGAGCAAACTGGACCAGCCAGATGTCAATCAACATGTGGTGTGATTCCCTTAGCCAACCAACAGAGTCGGACCTGAGACCGCTCCGATACCAAATGTAAGCTTATGAGTTTGGACTTCCCGGGAGGTCACCCAGCCCAGTACTATTCAAACCCAAGGACGCTTAACTCCAAAATATCCCAAGACCCTTAACCGATTGGAAAAGGGGGTGCACTCTTGTTCATGGGCCCTTTCCCTCTATATTTGAACCCCATGGATCGTCTCTCAAGTCATTCCCTTTGGTTGCTTACAGTTCTTTCACTTCAATAATGAAGTAATGGCAGCATGATCACCTTCAAGTAATGTTCGAGAACCATATAGAACTTCATAAATTTAGAGTCCAACTTTCCACAACACTTGATATAGTCTCTTCTAATGGTCAAGGTGCATGAAATTTTTCAAAACCCCAAACTGCTACTAAACACTCCTTCTCTATCATGGAGTAGTTCACCTTCACTAGTTGTAATGTATGGCTTATATACGCAATAGGATGATATTAACCAGGCACACTTGGGCTTTTTTGCATTAACACACTTCTAAGATCAATATCAAAAGCATCCACGCATAAAATAAACGCTTGAGTGTAATCAGGATATGCCAAAATTGGAGGAGTTGTCAAGAGCTCTTTGAGATTTATGAATGCCCACTCACAATCTGGAGACTAAATGAAAAATGACATTGATAACTTCAATAATGCTCGCAACGATGTAGTGCGATCAGAAAGATGATCCACAAAACGACTGAGATACTGCGTCTTACCCAGGAAGCACTACACATCAGTCACATACTTTAGAGTAGGGAACTTCAGAATAGCTACAAGTTTGTCAAGATCAACTTGCAAACCCTCACGAGAAATACAGTACCTAAAATAAGTCATGTCTTTAGACCCAAACATGCACTTTTACCATTTTATCTTTAAGCCAACGTCCCATAGCTAATTTAACACTTTACAAACATAAGGAATGTGCTCTTCCCATATCCCCTCCGAGTGAATCAAGACATCATCAATGAAGTTAGCAATCACCTTTGGCATATCACAAAAAACTTCGTCCATCATCCACTGAAAAGTTGTTAGAGCATTGTTCAAACCAAACTGCATCACCAAGAACTCATACAAACTAAACAGTACAAAAAGCAGTTTTAGGAATGTCTTCTTTAGCCATCGGTATCTGCAAATACCCAGAAGCAAGATCTAGCTTGGTGAACCAACAACTTCACCCCAAATGATCTAAAATATCAATAGTGTAAAGATGAAGGTACACATCTAGGATCATCACTTTATTTAATGGATAATAGTTGATGCAGAAATGAATACTCCTATCAGGCTTCATCACAAAATGAGGTTCACATGCCCAAGGACTCCGTAACTTCTGAATAACACTCTTCTCTAACATCTCCTTTACAAACTTGCATGTAAAATCTTGATCTCTTTGGGTGATCGACGATGAATATAAACCTTGATTGGACGCACATCCCCAGTTGGAATAGGATGATCTTGGCCCCAGACAATAGGTCAAATTCAAAAAGATCAAAATACTCCTTTATGAGCCGATCAACTATTGCAACACAAAAATTGTCAAAGGGATAGGAAAAGGGAAGAGTAGAACAAGACGAAAACGAGTGGGGGGATAAAAGTAATGGAAACAGAGGTAAAAACAAAGGGACGAAGATGTACGGAAGTGAGAGGAATGGATGAAATATAAAGAAGTATGAGACAAAGGAGAAGCCTCAAAATCACATTTGGTATGATTGCATTGCAACTAATCTATACCAAGGATGAGGTCAAAATCTTGACTCAGCATCACCCGCAATGATTGCAACCCAAGCTTGAGATCGCCCATATGCACAATTAAGTTTGCCTCATCCCGTGCACATGCATGTGTACGGCCGTTGCCATAAAACATGAAAACTAGCTCCACCATATGACTCAAGTGTAGATGGCAACGTGTGGCAACGGGTTAAACAATAGAAGATAAACTCAAACTTGTATCAACCAACACAGAGAGAATAATAGAAAATCACTTGTCATAAAAATGAGCTTGGAAATTAAACATTGGATGAATTGGTGTCGACTAGCAAACACTTCCAATGCTTTGAACATTCCTTACTCCATATCCAAAGAATTCTGCCCAGCAGTGCCAAAGTGATTCACTGGGCGCAACTTCTTGACAATCCTATGGACCAGTCCTATGCTTCGTTCTATCAAAGAACTATAGCTTTTCTACCAAAACTCTATCACTGCCGATAGGACTTTTTGTTCATTCTTTCAATTCTGCAGGAGTTGAGACGAAACTGCTATTGTAAAAACCTCTTGTGAGTGAGATGTGGAGAGAGATGTGGAAAGCCAGAGAGGATCCAGCTGCTACTTAGTGAGGTTGTAGACTTGGCGACACACTGGAGGAGGAAGAGAATGGCCAGAAGCAGGGAGGAGGAGAAGGAAGAGCTTTGTTGAAGGCCTTGTGTGGATAATAGTTGCTGCATTATAACATCTAAACAATTAATTCCTGGACGATTGACTGTCATGGGCCATTTTTCATAATGTTCACACACAGCTTTTTCATGTAACTCTCACGACATAGTTATATAATATATATTCTAATTATAAATCAATCAGGTTTTTATTGTAGATAGCATATGATTTTATTTTTAGAATGTTTACTTTAATAGGAGCTATGCTTGACGATCTATTCATTTGTAGATTAAGCTTTTTGTTTACAAATATAAGAAGATGATTGTGTTTGGAAATACAAACTTTGTTATACAAACCTCAGCTGTGCCACATGACTCGAGGTGGTTTCCACAAGAGTGGTTTGGTTGGTTTGGTATGCTTTTGAAGCCAGCTCCATGTACCTGGACTTCCCACTCTAGTACTCATCTCTTGCCAAAGATCAAGCAAGTCCCCAAAGTAGGAATTTGTCATGGCTCAAGAATAAAACTTAGTTGAAGTTAGGAGTTTTTCCTCCCAAGAGATTGATTCCAAGAGATTGATTCCCAAGAGCATCTCTCACGAGCCACTGGATCTGTGGCATGAGAGGGTATGGGTTCTGCCGAGATCCAATCGAGCTGGCAGTCCTCCCTCCTGGAAATTCGAGACACCAATTCCCAGCGCCTGAGCTGCGGATCGCCCAAAAGAAGATGAGATTCGAGCAAGGAGAATGATATTACCGACGACATCCAGCAGCTCATCCGAGAGCCGCCGCTTGCAGTAGGGCTCCTCGTCCGGAGGTTCCCGACATCACCCCAATCGTCGCCAAAGCCGAAGAGCACCTGTGGTAGAACCCTAAGCCATTTCCTTCAGCTCGATGAGGTTTCCATCGCTTGTCTTGCTCGTGTTGTGCGGCATTTTGGCGCAGGGGCACGGCGGCGGAGGCCATTAAGATGTTAGGCCTTTTAGATTTCAAATTCCCGCCACTTTCAAAACTAGGGTTTATGCTATGGAGTGTCGGGCGGATCCTTAGGCCTAGGTTTCTGCTGCATTGCCGGTGTCGTGCGCCAGAAACCTAGAAGCGCTTCTGGAGGTGCCGGAATCATCGCCAGATCGCGAGGGGATCAGGCATTTCAAGGCGCTGCCGCACGTACTTGAAATGTGGCGCGGTGGAAGACGCCAGGGACGTCTTTTCTCGTCTTCCTTCGCGGGGAGTGATAGCTTGGACTAGAATGATCGCCGGATTCATCGAGCAGGGTGATGAAGAATCAGCTATGATTTCCTACGTCCAGATGTGGAGCTGCGGATTGGGATCCACAGGAGGATCGCGAGAATGTTGTGGTCGGGAATGCACTTGTTGGGATGTACCCGAGGTGTGGAAGTCCAGAGCTCGCCAAGAGAGTGTTTGATAGGCTGGTTTACCGCGACTTAGCGACTTGGAACGGTATTCTCTCGGCCTTCTCTCGAGAACAGGATGGTTTCAGTGACACTTTCCAGATCTTCCGGACAATGCTGCTGGAAGGGACGGCTCCAAATCGGCGGAGTTTCGTCACCATTTTGGAAGCTTGCTCGGCAGCACTGATTAACTTTTATAGCCGGTGCGGGGATTTGGACGGAGCACGGAGAGTTTTCTCGGGAGTTTGAGAGCAAGACGTGGTTTTGTGGACGAGCACGGTATCAGCAAACTCACAACACGACCAAGGTGGCCTCTACAGAAGAATGCAACTAGAGGGATTCCAGCCAAACGAAGTTACTACTCAAGGCTCTTGCTAGCGAAGAGTTCTCTTGGGCTTTGGAACGAGCTCGTGATGGAGGCTGGATTTATCTCGCACGGGTTTGTCCGCACCTCTCTCGTCAATTCTTTCGGGAGATCCGGGAAACTAGCCGAAGCTCGCAGGATCTTTGACGAACACTGCGATGAGAAGGATATTTTTTTGTGGAACACCATGCTTGGTGTCTATGCCGACCATGGAGAAGCCGAGGAAGATGGAGTGTTTTTGTTTTGGAGGCTACACTTGGAAGGTTTGAAGGCTGACAGGATAACTCTCACGACCATGGCCAGCGCTTGTGACAGTCCAGAGCTTCTTCGGGGAAGCACTCGCATCCACGATCACTGTGTGGAGCTCGGCTACATGACCGACGTGGTTACCTCAAACTCCATCATCACAATGGACGCAAGCTGTGGTAACTGGGAGGAAGCTGTCGCCATCTTTCGAAAGTCACAGCACAGGGATGTGGTCACTTGGAGCGCAGTGATCGCTGGCTACTTTAAGCAAGGACGTCACTCTCCAGGGATCAGATTCTTCCAAGAGATGGTTCTCGAGGGACTCAAGCCAAGCAAAGTTACGCTGGTGGCAATGCTCGGTGCCTCGGGATTGCTTTTGGAGGAGGCCAAAAAGATACACGCCGGTGTTGTGGCGATTGGGTCTGAAAACGACTCTACAATCGGGAATGCCATGGTTAGGCTGTATGGAAGGTGTGGGAGCACTCTTGACGCGAATAAAGCTTTCGACAAGCTGGGAGACAAGAGCGTTGTCTCGTGGAGCGTGATGATTTCGGCACTCTCTCAACACGGTAACATCGACCAAGTCCACAGGCTTTTACACCAGATGCAACAGGAAGGACTCAAGCCAAACCAACGTTTGTAAGCGTCTTCGCGGCCTACAGCCATGCTGGGATTTTGCAAGAGGCCTGCCAGATTTATGGATCCCTGGGTGGAGACTTTGATACGGTAGCTTCTCTGGAACTTTATGGATGCATGGTAGATCTCTTAGGACGAGCAGGGTGGCTGGCCAAGGCAGAAGCTTTGATGGTTGGTATGCCATTTCCTCCAACTTTGGTGATGCTAAAGTCGCTGTTGGGAGCGTGTGGAACATATGGAAATCTGGAACGTGGTCAAAGGCTTGCTCAAGAGATTACATGTTCTGTGTTCATGGTGAAGAAAAGCTAAAAAAGTGTGTGTAAAGGCAATTATTGTTTTCCCCATTTGGGAGGCTTTGGGGCCTAACATAATAAGAGCACCACACAGGTTGTAGAGATCAATCTCAAGCTAGCTAGAACTTGTTGCCTAGAAGCTTTAATAGGTTGGCGACCACCTACTTCAATAAAACTCACATAGAATAACAAAGAAAAACATTATACCACTGATGCCCCAAGGATAAGATTGGTCACTATCATTCTCAAAACTTTTGTCTTAGAGTCACTCCAGTATCTCCAACTTAGTTTTACAAGACTTATACAAGATTAACAGCGTTAGCAAGCATTGCTATTGCCAGCCAGGGATCTCTTTGTAGGGACCCTTCTGCCCTCTCTTGGATATGGGATATTGCAGCCTGTTTATGAGGAACTGGAAGAGCTTACAAATGTTCAATTGTGCATGGCTGATCTTGAAAGGAAATTGCTATCCTTCACATCTTGGAGAAAAAAAAAATGCTAACTCTCTTCATAGTCCATCACAATAGAATAATCTAATAAATTAGATTATAATAATAAATTTAACTACTTTTGCAAAGATATTTGTGAGGTAAACAAGGACTTTCACATTAAAACAGGTTATACACACAAATAGTATTTGAAATTTTAAAATATATAATATGTGTGGGAATAGGTATATTAATTGGGCCTACTTATATTGGACATATTGATATATACACACAAATATGTATTTACTAACTCAAATTCATAACTATCAAAAAAACTTTCCTTTATTCTATATCTTTCTTGTGGTTAACCTTTGAAACCTATGTTAACTCAAATTCATAACTTTCATCTTTGTTTAGCATTATATATAGGAGGTTAGACACACTTTATTCATTTTCCTTAACTTCATTTTTTCTTTGAAGGAAAAAAAGTTTTAAAACACTGACTCTATTTGGATTTATTATGTTTGTCTTCACTTTACCATTGATGCTTAACTTCATTTCACTATCATATTTATTCAACTTTATTATGTTAAAGTTATATATTTTTGCAATGTTCACCCTCACTCCACAATCTATATTATTCATTCACATATCCATTTGTCCTCACTTCATCATTAGGTTAAATTGTCATCCGTCCTCTTTACCCCTCCTTAAAAAAAAAGAAAATTTGAAATGTCAAAGCAAAGAGGAGAAAGCAAGAAAAATTAAAGAAGAAATATTGTAGAAGAAAAAAAAGTAAATAAAAAAAATTAGAAAAAGAATTTTTAGCAATTATTACTATGAAAAGGGGGAAATAAAAAAAAGATATGTGCTCAAACAAGGGACTTCCTTTAGCTACCACAATATAAGCAAAAAATTCAGATTACTTAACCTCCTTTCAACACATAACTCAACATGTAAGAGAGGAAAATCAATAAAAACATCTTACTCTTAACCACTATGTACTCCACATGACTCCCAAAATGCCTCTGTACCTGAGCTTCTACCCATATCAAAGGTCTCACTTGATCAAAGGAATGGTCCTTCGAAGTGCAATAGCCAAACACACCTATTCCAAGGGAACGTGGTGAAGACAGTGTAGCACAATATGTATAATGCCTTACTGGTAAAATTCGAATCATCCAGGTCTATGGCCTCACCCTTCGTCAAGTGTCCTTGTGCCTCTAGAAGAACTGAGACCGAGCTTGCATCCTGGCATACCCCGAAAACCTGAAACACACACACAAATAGCACAGGACAAAGGTCAGCAATCGCATGGAGATACTTTATGTACATCAATAACTCGATGCAGAAACTGGCAGCGTTGCAAGTTTGCTTCATGCCGTCAGTCATTACGTACACGTTGTTGTGCTGGACGAAAAGATAAGCCACCCCATCGTTGAAAACAACAGGGTCTCAGTAGCTTGGATCACTCTGAAAAGGCATGTAATTTCTAAAGCAACCAAAAAGAAGAATCTGGACGTACCTCTCCTCCTTGTATCTTGGCAAAAAATCGTCCGGCCCACACCTACCTAGGCCCAACCGTCATATCTAAAAGAAAGATTGCTGTTCACTCTTCACGATTAAGTCCCTACGATTTTCCTATATCAGTTCCTGCTCCAGATCCATCGGGCCCGCTACCAGTGCCAACCAACGTTGAGAAGCTGGATTATCAACACTGGTGACGCTTCTAGCTGCACAGCTGCATTGCAATCGAAAGATGTCCTCTTGGATTTCTAGGCCTACAAGCTGCGTCTCAATTCTTCTGCATGAGAGAGAGAGAGAGAGAGAGAGAGAGAGAGGAGCAAATCCTAACCGTCAGATTTCTTCTCGACATCGCAGCCGTTGACATTTAGAGCTCATACAGCTATAAACGATGTGTGGTAGTATGCCAATACTCAATGCTATAAACAATCAAAGACTCCACAAATGAAATAAAAGCAAGATTCTCAATTTCATGAATATGATTAACATTTAAATTAGTGTGAGGGAGATAGAAAATGTAACTTAATATTATGTAACGCTAATTATGTGTGCTAAATGTGACATTTGGGATGAACCTAAAAATTAGGTGAAAGTATACGCTGAGGATAATGTTTTCCCGAGCCCCGATGTGATCAGTTCCCATCCCACCACGGCAGCATTCCGGGCGACGGATGGAATGCTTTTGAGGGACGGTCTGGGCAGGATTATGGGCCATCGCCCGAGCGTCATATAGAGGGTTCGCAGCGCAAGGGATGGGCGCAAATCCAGGACACCCGGGCGGAGGCACGGATCCTGAAAGGAGGGAGGCACGTCTACCTCAAGATCGTGCACCGTGACGACGACGTCGCCCAGCGCAGGTTTGCCAGGGATGTCGCGGCGGCAAAGCTGGAAAATGGGATCTTGGAGCTGCAAGGAGCGCCATCGGCCGTTTGGATCCATCCGAACTATGTCCTCTTGGAGGAGCTGATTGAGCGCGAGCTGGAACAAGCCCGCTGGCACTGCTTCCATGTCGTTGGGACTCCGGGGATTGGGAAGAGCTACTTCGCCTTGTACTGGCTCTACAAGCTCGCGCGGCGAAAGACGCGAGTTATCCACTGCCTCGATCGCGATGACCACCGTCATGGTGGGGATGGCGATGACGATGGCGATCGAGATAAGTGGTTTCTCTACGACTTCTCTCTCGAAGATCCTCTTGTCTGGACCGGGCCGAGATACTAGCAAAAGACGTCTTCCATGGGAATGGAGGGCTGGGACGCAGAAACTGCGTGGCTGATCGTGGATGGGCGCTTCAGTGCGCGAATCCAAGCCGGGCAGGATACCACAACTTCGCCAAAGACTTTGGCAAGCTCTGCCACCTCGAGGCGTGGTCTCTGTGCGAGCTCCTCGCGTGTAACCGGGCGCTGGAGCTGGGCTTTAGCGACGAGGAGCTGGCTGCGCGGTTTAGGATCGCTGGAGGACTGCCCAGCCTGGTGCTTTGCAAGCATGAGTTCATCGATGGCTTAGTGATGGATGCTGCTGCAAGCACTGTGGATGATCCGGACTGGGAGAGGGCCCCCGTGAGCGCCGAGAACGGCATTCTTGTGCACTATAAGCTCCCAAGGTGGAGCTCTGGGAGGTTATGGGAGCGCAGCCACCTCGTCCTTGGATCGGTGTTCATACAGAGCCTGGCGTTTGAGAAGCTGCGGCGACGAAGGGAAGTGGAGAGCTACCTTGGACACTTCTTTGATCTCAGAGGAACGCTGCTTTTCGAAGGATTGGCGTCGCAGATTTTCGAGAAGTTTGCGCTCGAGGTTCTCTCCCGGGGTGGAGCTTTCCAGTGCAAGTCTCTTGAAACCATCACAGGTTTGGAGGAGAAACTTGTCTTGCCGAGAAGCGATGGTGATTTTGTGACCAAGAGTGTCGAGCTGTTCTTCCCCGCTCAAGGTGAGTTTTTTTTAAAAGAAATTATAATTTTTTATTTTCTTAAAAGTCTGGATAGATAAAGGTTCTTTTGTGATAGATCTTCGTGTTTACCGTGAGCTCCAAACGTCCAGTACATCGCTGCGCTGTTGCTCAGGCGATCGAGGGGTTTGATCGGTGGCATGTCGAGCGGGGCCCGGCGGCGCCACGGTGTTACAAGCTGGTCTTCCTCATACCAGATCTGAGGGACGAGCTCATCTTTCAGGACCGGCAGGAATACGTCCACGAAGATTTCACTACTTGTTCCGGCCCACTGAACCGCGATGTCAAGCAGTGCTCCAAAAGAAAAAAGGGGAAGAGAAAGACTCGTACGGATCATGTTAGCAAAGTCTAACAGTATTTATTCTTATCTGGAAATAAATATCAAATAAGCATTTCAGGGATCCTGGCATGGCAAGAAACTGGCGGGAGGAGACCTTGATCTGGTCAGATAATGCAAAGATCTCGTTAAAAAAAACTTGCTGTATGTATATTAATCTAGAGATGGCTCAAACTATGTTCTGCCATGCTCCCCGTGCAACCAGACTTTCCCATGAGGCTGAGCAAGTTATGTCGATCATGCTCAAGAACAAATTTAGCGACTTGTTATCATGTCTAGGTTGGGAACAGTTAATTACATTTCATAACAAAAAAACAAAACAAAGAGGGCTTCTTTAAATTCCAATAAAATAAACAGATAGTTTAGAAACATTTATAGTTATGTTTTAAAAGTCAAAGTCTGCTGGATTCACCACGGCACAGAAATCACGACTTGTTTCAACCTCTTCATCGCATCGAGCTGAACACCGTACCTTCGGCCGTCATCCTGGAGGTACTTCTGCTCCTTTATTGAGTGAAACATGTGTTCCGGCACCACAAACACAAGCTCGTAACACGGAGGCAGCTTGTGCTGGCGATGCTTGTACCATTTATCCGCAATGACTTCAGCTAGCTTACTCCACGACAGTGGGTGTTCTTCTGCAACAGTGACCTGGTACACCTTGCAAAGCGTTTTCAAATCCGCCAGCCCGATCCCATCGAATGCCTTCTGGTTGGATGCATAAGGCTCAACGAACGTCCACTCTGCTAACCCATTCGTGCCCCTTGCGTCTGCAGCTGTGAGTAGACTGTTGGAATGCTGCCCTTTCTTCCGCTTCTTGCTATTTTGCACACTCTCATCTCCTTCGACCATTCGTTTCACTTGTTTGTACCTGATCTCGTGAACGAGGATTTTCCCAGTAGCTAGACAGCGCATCTTGTACTTCCTTCCCTGGCTCGATCCTTCCAGCTCATTTAAAACATGTCGCGCATACACTTTCCCTGCTAAGGCTCCAGCCCAACCAATGTGTTGGCAGTGGTTGAAGAATCTATGAGCTTGCCCTTTCGTCTGGAGGCTATCCAAGGACAGGGTCTCGATCCTGCTGGATCCGAACTCCAGGTGCATCTTTTCTACGTTCTTCTCCCCATTTTCGTCCTTCTCGAGTTTGTAATGGAGGAGAAGATCTGGAATGTCTGGATCCTCGATACAGCTACCGGCGCAATCGACCACCCTCTCCCAGTTTTTGACCAGCCCGACAGCAGCTCTGACGACTGTGTCCAGCTCCTCAAGGTCCAATGACCGACTGAAAACATACCGTGGCAAGCCACCGCATATCTCAAAGCGTCTCTTGATATCTTCGTCACTGAAGGATAGCCCAAGCGCGTTCTTGCAAGCTACCAAGTCCTCCATCTGCCATGCCTCCAAATGACAAATCCGTCCTGTATCCTATAATAATTAAACTTCTCATCACAATCTAAAATCCATTCAAGTTTGTAAACATTATCCTCTTATAAACTTGATTCTCAAACACTTTCTAAGAACCAGATTACATTATTTATAGCTCTCCAATCAATGCTATGATCACACTTCACATCAATAAAAGATAGCAAAACATTGAGAATAAAAGAATCTATATAATCATATCTCATAAAAGCTAGAGATGGTAATTGACCAAGAATGGGCACACCACCAATATAATCATGCCTTAAAACACCAAAAGTTTAATTTAACAGAGTAGCATTAGCAATATCAACTGATATACTTTTTGATTAATGACAATGTGATATAGTAGAAAAAGAGGAATGCAATGAAAATAAAAACAAATAAGCACAATGATAACTAGAACTCTAGATCCGAGCACCTGCTAACTCTTTCGCGTATCTCTGATGTACGGCGAAGTTCGCCACACCTTCAGCCGGGCGTACCAGGGGAGGTAAGGGATCTTGGACTACGAGTTTCATGAAGATATCGCTTCCCTTCTTCATGACTGTAGAAGCGCTCCTGGTGTCCGCAATTGGATACCATCCCTTCGTCTTTGCTCCGCGCAGCACACACACCACAACACTTGGGTGATGGCCCATGATCTCGCCCAAAACCTCACTCAGCTCCATACCTTCCGTGGCGTCGAAGCAGCGCTGAGAACCAGAGGAGATTACTGCATCCTCACTTGGGTAGAGGGTCGCACCATTAGACACGACCGCGTACCAGACACGGCAGTCTGGCTCGCTCTCTTCCTCCGCCATCGCGCACCCTTGATATTACACGATGGTGGATTATTCCAGGGATAGAATATTCTTTCTTCTTGAGGAAACGATTGTCACGCTTGGATCACCCAAAAGGCCACTGGCCGGACAGAGCAATAGCCGCCTTGTTTCATTTAGATCGAAGTTCACTTCCTGGAGCTTCCGGAGTGGCTAGGCGAGCTGGCACACAGCATCTCCTGAGTTCTTCATGCACTGGAACAGGTTTCACAAGCGTCCCGGTCGCCTTTGTGCAGCTCCAGCACAACAACGGATCCATCAAGTTGCAGGAGTGCCGGCAAAGCTAGTTACAGAGAGTCCACAGATCCCAGGGAGAGCTGCATTGATACTTAAGTGAATCTTAGACACAATAAATAAAATAAATGATAATAACAGGCATGTCGCTAAATTGTATGATTCGGCTCAAGCTGAGGCGCTTTCTGTCTTTATGCCTCTTGAGCATGATCAACATCTTCATGGGCAGGGCAGAGTCTACCACCTCATAGTTTGAGCCACTCCAGTATAGCTTAGCTCTAGTATATATGCAGCAAGATTTTTTATGAGATCAATATCCTCCACACAGTACAAATGACTTGATCTTCCATACTATGATGATCCCATAGATGTTCTCATGTTGGGTGTGGTGCCATCTGCAAGAAGGTGCAGCTCAATCTCTACATTGGTGCCATATGAGACTGGAAAGCAAACACTTCTATTAATTGTGTTCATGCGTGTTAGGAGAAGGAAATATTATATATAAGGTGATTGAAAAATTAATCTCTAAAGCTATCTCTATAATAATTAAACTTCTCATCACAATCTAAAATCCATTCAAGTTTGTAAACATTATCCTCTTATAAACTTGATTCTCAAACATTCTCTAAGAACCAGATTACATTATTTATAGCTCTCCAATCAATGCTATGATCACACTTCACATCAATAAAAGATAGCAAAACATTGAGAATAAAAGAATCTATATAATCATATCTCATAAAAGCTAGAGATGGTAATTGACCAAGAATGGGCACACCACCAATATAATCATGCCTTAAAACACCAAAAGTTTAATTTAACAGAGTAGCATTAGCAATATCAACTGATATACTTTTTGATTAATGACAATGTGATATAGTAGAAAAAGAGGAATGCAATGAAAATAAAAACAAATAAGCACAATGATAACTAGAACTCTAGATCTTGCAAAAAGCTAATATAAATTTAAATCCACAAAAGAAAAAAATGAATAAAACTAAAATCACAATCCCAAACACTAAACATTGCTAAAAACATTAGGGATATAGAAATACAATATTTAGACTCGAAATTCAGTCTTAAATAGATGGTTAACTATAATTAACATATTACTTTATATATAGAAAGACAAAAATTAAAATTTATGAGATAAAGTTTAAACTTTTCTAGAATTTTGGGTTATGACATTCTTAGTATACCTCTTATCCCACAGAAAGAAAAATTATCCTGCTTGCAGCCATTCACATTATCTTTTGCCAAGATTTCACTTCTATTCAAGGAACTTGATCCATTCATCAAGAACTTTGGGAGATCCATACCATGGCCTCTCTTCATCATTCGCACCAACAGGTGAGTGGTAGACACCATCAAATGTTATGTTTGTTGCTCCTCTCAAATGTGCTGACATTGCAGGAACAACACCATCGCCCCACACATCACCTCTCCCACAAACCTGGTAAAAAACAACCATAGCTATTATCTCTCCAAAATTCATTCCATTTAGTTACCTGCTTGTATCCTTGGCCAATAAGTCTATCTTCATACGAAGGAGTTAATTCTTCCCCATCGTCAATTTCTTCCTCGTCGCTTTCTACTATTGTTTCAACCAGCGTGCCTGTTGTCACACTTCCAACGCCTGCTGCTACCACAGCATCCGGGGATTTAGATCGAGTAGCACCCTTTATATATCTGTATGCAACGAACAAAAAACGATCATAAACGATAGAATTGAAACCGGTACATGCCTGCTAGCAATGCAAACGTATTTTACTTGAGGAGCATGAAAGGCCCCGGGGCACTTCTCTTCGACGTAGTCTAGCAGGCCCCGTGTTTGATCGAAAACACCGGGGACTCCTTTTGGAGGTGGCCTGGATAGAGTTAGAAAACGAAGCTACAACTTCGATTCGAATCGACCAATCAGTGAAACTTACAAGTGAGGAGTTCCAAGTGTGAGCAAAAGAGAAATATCGTCGGTTCCAAACTCCAGCATGAAAACCCGGGCAAGCCATCCTCCCGCTGAATGAGCAATCAGCGAGACTTTGTCATGACCTGCGAGCAAAGCACTGGAAAAAAAGCTGAGAAAAAAGAAAGCTTGCGAAAGTCGAGATGAGATCGAAAGAAGCTTCTACCGTGCTTGGCCTTGACAGCATCAATAGCAACTTTTATTCTTTCCAAGTACCTGCAAAAAGTTCGATCTTCTAAAGAGTTCACGAGATGATTCAAGACTGTACCAGTCAAGAACAGGCCTGGGCTTGAGCGTTCCTCTCCAGTAATTCCCGTCGAGCAAACCAGCAGCATTTCGTAGCCAATCCAGCCTCGAAACTTTCAAAACCTTGACTGGAAATCCTTTGCTGCGGAGAGCTGACGAGAGTGGAGCATAGTCTCCAGTGTTATTGCCTAGTCCCTAGCTTGAAAAATAATGAGAAACCAAAAGAAAACTTTTCGACTAAATTGCGAAGTTCAAGGAAAAAAAACAAGATCTAGACAAGAAATCCAAGTAAACTTTCGACTAGATTAGAACGTTCTAGACTAAAAAGAAGAGAAAAACCTAGCCAAGCAATCGAGCTATTGTAAAACTCTTGAAGGAGTGACTGACTTACGGGTAGTATGACAGTGCTTTGTCGCTGGGTCAAGTGGCCATTGTTTGATGGCGAGGCGAGGCACCCAACAATGTGGCTGGATTGGGTGCATACCATGGGTGCCATCACCATATCACTCCCACCACGCAGGAGCTCCAATTCACAATCCCTCCCCTTGCCCTGGGATGAAATCAAACAAAAAACATTGTCAAATAAGTCAAAACAATGTCAAAGTTCGTCAAATTAAGTCAAGGGCTAAAAGATCAAAGTCTAATATTAATTAACCAAAAAACTCTAATTTATATAGCTATTAAAATTTTATTACAGTCGTAAATTTAAACCGTCGTAAACCGTCGTAAATTTAAACCTCACAAGTCCATAATAGTTAAATTCGTTTACTCGTAAAATACAAAATTAAAAAGCCAATGTAAGGGTCAAAATAAATCAAAGTCAATGGTCACTTACAAGACCAACTTTTAAACTTCTTTCAAAGAAAGAAATGGCAACGCTAATGTCACAGGAAGAGGCGGAGAGCTTCGCAGTGGAGTGGTGCGCATCACTCAACTCGCACAGCCTGGCCTCCATCCTCGCGCACTACGAGCGAGGCGCCACTCTGGTGTCACCCCTGGTATGTGATCTCCTCGCGCGGAGCTCGGGAGCGCTCCAGGGCCTCGTGGAGCTCTCACATTTCTTCCACAAGCTCATGCTCCGCTTCCCAGATCTCCACCTCCAGATCCTCCACGTCTTTGGAGGCGTGTCCAGCTTAGTGGTCGTCTACCAGGGAGTTCCAGGACTGTTTCTAGTTTCCGAGATGTTGGAGATCGATCCAAAGTCACGTAAGATCTCTAGAGCTGTGGTGCACTTGAAGAAATCCTGCCACAGCGCTGCTTGAGCCAAAAAAAAAAGAGAGAGAAAAAAGAAGAAAAACACTGTCAAAAAGCAGATGTAATGAAGCAAACCTGTCTTATTCCCCTGGCACGAATTCCTTTACAGCTATGGCTGGCTAACGAGCAAAACGATTACTTACAGTAAAGAACTTACACCCGGAGTCGTTGCTGTGCAAAATATGTATAGAAGATTTGGGCTGTGATCTCTGCCGGATTAACTGGATGGTTGGTTCATTTGTCCGGCTTAAGATCGGCCAGGACTTCCTTCAAATCCGTCGGAGGCTTGGACTTGCCATTGATGATCTCGAATGTGACGTTCGACAGTGGACAGAGTCCTTGCAAGCAAGCCTGAGCAATCACTGCAACGTCCTTTCGAGCAATGGTCCCCAGCCCTTTGTCACCTGCAGACAAAGCCAAAACCAGCACCGTCAAAAGAATTAGCTTCGCAACAAGAACTGTCAAAGGAAAAGAGCCCAAAAGCTAGAAAACGATGAGAGAGAATTTCAAGCAATATGAGTTCCTAGCGTCTCAACTCACCTTGTTCGGCGATGATCTTGTATTGACCGCCTTCTTTGTTGAGTAATCCCCCGGGCCTGATGATAAAATACCCGAGCTCCTCGTGCTGGGAGTAGGCTTCCTTGACAGCTGCCTCGCCCTACAGCACAACAAGAGTCAGAGAGTTGGATGCTACCTACACGTGTTCGTGCAACAGCGATGCTGAAACGTCAAACGGAAAGCGAAATGAAAGCTGACCTTAAGCTTCCACACCAAAACTCGACCTTTAACCGCATTGAGAATGAGAGAAATGGGTGAGTAAGGCCTTGTCACTCCCATTGACGAGACGAGTACGAACTTTGGAACCTGGAAAATGTGAAAGAAAAAGAAGAGTTAAAAAATCTCGAGCTAGATAGCTAGCGCTTTGATGCTCTTACCTTTGCAGAAGCAGCGGCCTCGGCAAGGTGTTTAACTCCCAGATAGTCGACGAACTTTGGTGTGTCCTCCATGACAGAGCCAGGGAGCTTCCATCCAGCTCGAGCACCAATCGTGCACACAACCCCGTCCATTCCTTCGCAAGCAGGCGCCAGCGTCTCGGGTTTCGTTACATCACCAAGGACGAATTTCACCTTGTCGCCTGCCAGAAGAAGAAGAAGAAAAAGAAGAACACTTAAGCCTGACACTACCAAGTCTCTAGAGTTCCTAGAGATTCAAGAAAAGTGGACAAAATTCACTGACTTGTGGAATCCAAGGCCTTGGTTGCTCGCTCCAAATTCCTCACGAGAGCATACACTTCAAACTCCTCGGACGCGGCGAGCAATTTCGCGACCTGGAAAGAACCAAGAACACATCAAAACACCCCAAATTATGGAACGCAAACCCTGAGAGCACCGGCAGAAAACAGTCAAAGATCGATCAAACACCCCGAAAACCCTGTGCGCTACCTCCATCTCGAGCATCGGCAAAGAGTGCCGCTAAATCACGATTCAATCTCGAAAGAATGCAGGCAAAGATCGATCCAACACCTCAAAATCCCTGCGCGCTCGTGAATGCAGCGCCATACCTCGAGGCCGCAGCCGCTGCTGCTCCCGACGACTAGCACCTTCATCCCTCCGCCGCGACGGAAATGAAAAACCCTAGTGCTGTTCTTCCAAGAGCACACATGTAAAGGCGGTGTGGTTTGATTTTTACTTTGGAAAGTTTCTAGCTAGTAATATTTCTCCCTCTCATATACCTTTCGATCGATCGATCCTTCACAGGGGCTAGAAAGAAGGCACGATTCCATCCGCCATAGCCGAGAGCACGAAATGCTCCACATCCGATCGCTTCACGAAGCGGCCTTTGATCCTTGGCCGGATCTCCGCGTAGGCCTTCCGGGACGCGTAGCGCACCGTCTTCTCGAATTTGCGATTCTTGCGCTTCTCCTTGTAGCGCAGCACTCGCTCCTCCCTGGCGATCCCGGGACTTTGCTGCTGGATGCCCTGCTCGCCTCGAGAAATCTGGCACAGGAACTCGATCATGTTTCCTGGATAGGGTTTGGAGATGTCGCTCATGCTGGAGCTGGATTCCGGGACCGCCGCCACTGAGGAAGATCTCTGCGATGAATTGGCAGCACAGATCATCAGAAGAAAGCACGAGAAATCTCTTTCCGCAGCGATTCTGTGTGGGAAATGCATCGCTGAGCAAAAGCCCTCTCTTGATTTCACGGTATCGAGCGAGATTTTTGCGAAGAACACGCGAGAACTTTCTTGCAAGAACACGAAGAACACGCGAGAGGAGGGAGAGAGAAATGGCGCTTACTGTTTGGCTGAGAGAGATCGTTGTGCCAGTCCCTCCCAAGCTATAGGAGCCACCCTCGGGCTGTTCTTGCAAGAATCCCGGAAGATTTGGCGCTGCTCCCACCTCGAGGAAGGAATCGAGCGAATCGATCACGCCGAAATTCGCGAGAGGCTGCTGCTGTTGTTGTGGATTCTGCCAGCAATCCGGCGCGGCGAGGAGGAGAGGATTGTAGTTTGGAACGACCGACGAAGCGTTGATGTGCGCGACCTTGATCATGCTTGGGCACTCAAAGAACGGCGTGACCGCGACCCTCTCGTGGCGATTGGCGAGCGGATTGGCCGAGTGGATGTCGGTGTCGCACGACGCGCACAGCGCCGCGGCATCGGCCTTGCAGATCACCGCCGCCGGGGCGTGCTCGCACACCTCGCAGATCCAAACCCTCTCGTGCCGCGACGCGAGCTTGTTGGCGCCGTGGACCTTGAGATCGCAGCCCAGGCAGATGTAAGCCATGTCCGCCGTGCAGTAGATCGCCGCGTTGGAGACTCGACATCCATCGCAGAGCTTCGTCATCGATCGAGCAAGCACCAATCCGAAGAAATCTCTAGAAAATTTTCACTCCCGATGGAACTAGAATCGTCTAGGATCTTTTCCAATCCCTCCAGTGGCTGTCCTCTGGGCGGGAATTGCTGGATTGCCCCCCAGATCGCTGCTCTACTATCTCATTGCAGCGTGCGCTAGCGATTTAATGCGAGATTTCATGTGGGTAGGGAACAGGGAGTGAAAAATCTGTGCGCGATCCGTCAGTACAGGCTGGATTACATTGGAAAATGGGGAAGAACAATCGATGAGAGGGGGGTGTTTGCTTAGAACCCTAAAACCATGGACCAGCTGTGCGGATGATAATCGCAGGGAGCCCAACGCCGTCGATCCGGGCAGCCAATCACATGATAGTTCTAGATCCTTTGCGTCTTCACGTGGCATTTTCACTTTTCCCGCCGGAGAAAAGAAGGGTCCAAAAACAAAAAATTGCGACAACGACCCCACTTGCCACTCTGGCCTTCTGCCATTGGTCCAGCGCACAGAAAAAATCTTTTCCCGGGCGCTCAGAGCTCCCGTATCTGGCGAGAAGATTTTCCGGAATAGTTTTTCCGGGAGGATGAGGGATTCCCGGGCGGAAGGCTCTGATGATCTGGACCGTTGGATGTGTTGTCAGTATGAGGCCTCAGTGCTTTTCAATCGTGGCTCCCAACGACAAGCAGCTGTAAGAATGGATTCAAGAATCATGGCAACAAAAAGAGAGCACTATCTTTAATCAAAGTGGGGGCACAAAAAGGTTTAAAGTTTAAAAAAGGTCCAAAATGTTGAGCACTAGGGGAAACATTGGATGGAATTTTTTGTTCTTTATGCAAGTCAAGTTCTACTATAACTTCTAGAATGGAAAAATAGACTCCAGTTATAATTACAAGGTCAATGGTTTCTCAATGTGGGTTACAGTATTTTAACTTTAAACAATAACTTTAAATATTATAAATATAAATTTTTATATAATGCAATCTCACAAATGCTTTTACTTTTATTTGATTATATAATGAATATTAATTTAATAATATAAAAGAATTCATTTTGGATAAATAATGAAAAATCAAATATGTCAATATATGGAATACATACATACATACATATATATATATATATATATATATATATATATATATATATATATATATATATATATATATATATATATATATATATATATATATATATATATGCATATTAGATTGGCCCAAAAACTCTAATTTATATATATGAGCAAATGAAACTAATCCAATAACTATCAACTCAATATACTAATAATAGTAAACTGTAACACACTTGAATTTGAAGCCAAATTCCAAGTCTATTACATTATGAAACAAGGGTTTGATACACTTTTAATTTTACAAGCACCAACTCCCCATAGCTAACATTTGCACGCAAAATGGTATTTAGGATGATTTTGGCATACCAATGGTCTAATGTAAAGAAAAG